ACCAGCCCTGCTGCAGTGAGCGCAAGACCTGCCCCTCCTGGGACCCATTGAGGGCACATTGCTAGCATTCCTGGTCCTGCCTGTCCCTGCAAGCAAACCTGCCCTGCCCACTTGGAAACTTGCTTGGTGTTTGGAGTGTCCGTGTGTTTTAGGGTGTGTGAGTGAGATCACTTCTTTTAAAATAAGATTGCCTTCCCTTCCTTGTATGTTCTTGCACTGTGTTTTGCAACAACACAGTGTTGGGTGCTTTTCCTTCCTTTTTTTTTTTTTTTTTTTTTTTTTTTCTCTTTTCATAACACTGTTTAAAAATTAATAACAGATGTAGAACTATCCATCACTTTGCAGTGACAGCATATGGCTTCAGCTCCAGAATTGTCTTGGAGACTTGTACACCCACGAACTGTGTAAAGTTGCTATCATGGAACTGGAGGGTATTAAGAATGTGTCTGTCTTGGCCTGATCACCCCATGTTTATACGTCAGCAATGATGGTACCGTGCTGTGCTAAGTCCTCTGTGCTAAACACACTGATGCACATGTAGAGATGAGGTACAGTCGAAATATTCACAAAGCTGTTCAAGTCTGCTCTATATCCTTTTCAACTGCTTCTTTACACTTATCCTGATCCATCACTCTACATCTCTAAAGACCTTTCTGACACTTCTTTGTATACCTGCCCTATTATGAATATTTGAGATGGTTACAGACATCTTCGCACTCTACCTCCACTTTTGCATGTTGTCCCAAGCACACTGATCCAGCAAAGCTATTAAAAATTCTGGCCTGCACTAGCTTCAACCTGTGAGGCTACTAAGGAAGTAATTGTTCCAGAGGGCATGAGAGAGAATTTTCAGTGTTCAGATTTTAAAGAAAAAATGTATTCCCAAGGTGTGCTACCACAGGGATGCAGAGTGTAAGACATGGTATAAGAAGTGTGATGGAATAGAGAAGGATTTTGTCAGTGCAACAGCCTTTCAGGAAGGGTCACTAATCAGATGCAAGCCTTTCAGTGCAGTTCAGACACATGCAATAAGCCGAGTGATGAACATTTTTAGAATGAACTCAGAATACTGATACTCTGTGAGAAGGTAAGATCCACAGTGTACCTGTGCCATGTTACTTTGTTCAAGTCAACCAACTTGGTGTTAAAATCATTGTCATATGAAGATTAGAGGACTTCTGAATAAAGAACAATGCTATCCACAATTTGAGTTAGTTATGTAGTGTCTGAAACATTTAAGAAAGCTTTTTTTCTTTTTCCCTTCCCCTTATCAATATATGCTGCTTGTTAAAATGTTATTTTCCTTGACTGTGCGAGTTTTTATCTATCCGTCAGTTCTTCTGAGAGGGACACAGAATTTTTGTTCTGTTTATAATGAAAAGCCACATTTCCAGAAAATAAATGATGCTCATTTACCTGTATTTGGACCCTTCCAGTTTCGGGAGAGAAAAGTCTAAGAGAGTTGATGATACAGGTACCAAAGAAAATGATTGGGATATCAGTGTTTTATTCTCTGAGGGTACTTTGATAATCTCAATGTAGGACAATACAGTACAGAAATTTCAGTAGATAAAGTACCACCCCAACTCCACATGGAACAACTGATGTTTTTAATAGCCTGCATTACTGTCAGGCCAGATCTTGCTGTTTCACTGGTTATTTAGGAAGACGAGTGTAGTTTGTGATGTCCTAGCTGCAAAGCAAGTGCAGCCTTCATAGAAATAAAATGAACAGCCAGCTTAATGCGAAGTAGTCAATACTGATTACATGCTGTAAGGACATGAGACACATATTATACATTTTTAGATATCTGTAATATATGTAGATATTCTGGAATATTTATTCTTTGCACAAATAGGAAGTTCTTAAGGCTACAAAATTTCTGAGGCTGTATGACCCTGGAAAAAAAAATGGCATGGAGGCCACAAAAGAGAAATTTGAGAATACATTGCATTTTGAGGCCTACAGCACTTACATTTGCTGATACTTTGTATTCTAAAGACACACACGCACACCTTTTCTTTCTCTTTTGTTCTTTTTCTCTCTCTCATTTCTTTTTCTTTCTCTCTTTCTTATATTCTTCTTTATATTATTTATTCTCATATTATTTTCTTATATTCTTTATTATTTCTTATGTTCTTTTAAAGTGTATTATAAATAACATTTAATGGATACTAAAAGTAACTGGTAAAGTAGAGGTAAAGTGGACCTCACCCAGCTTCCCCAAGACCCTCATAGAGCTCCTCTAGGTGTTTGTTATTGCAGAGGAGATCATTTTGCATCCTGTCTCCTCCCTGGAATAAGTTTCCATAATTGTTTCATGTGTCCATCACTCCTATAGACATCTTCATAGAGTGTTCTGACATGGGTTGTTCAGTTGCTGTTGGTTTTGCTTGGTAAATATAAGAGGCTTATGCAGTGCATTACATACCTGATGCTGACTCCAATGTGTGAAAGAATCTATCCCTTCATGTTAAGATTCATCATTTTATACATGGGAATCAAATAGAAAGCTGACTGGTTGTGTGTCTAAAATGACAAATAAGCTGGAAAGCCATCAGGACCTTTTATCAAGAAAAGAATTTCAAAAGGTTTAAGACATTTCCCTGAAAGCTGTAGTCACAATTCTTAGACATTTATCTAAATGATAGCATTGATTACATTAATAGATTTACACAATTTCAGAAAAGACATCTGAAGAATCTTGATCCACATTTTGTCTGGTGAAACAAGAAATGGAAAAAGAAATAAAAGCTAAAAACAAAGGTATAAAAAACAACAACAACAACAACAACAAAAAACAAACAGAAACAAAAGCACAACAGTGTTTTTTGTCTCTGTGTTTAGAAAAAGTAAAAGAGAATGAGAGAATGTTTGTCTTCTTTTTTGCTTTTGGCACCTGTGCTGAGTTAACTTTTCTGGGAATGCAGGAGGAGTGGGAATGGGAAAGAAAGAGATAAATTTGTTAGCACAGAAATGTGGAGCCTATTATGATTAATAAATAAGAAAGGTTCAGGATTGTGTTGTGGTTTCCACTGAACATTTCCCGTTTTCCAAATAATAATACTAAACGGTGATCATTAAAGAAGTCTCAAAATATGAAGATTGAATGCCAATAATATGGAAAAATAGATGACACAAGAACAAAAAACACAGAAAACATTTTTTATTGTTCACAGTTTTTGAAAACATATCTATTTCATTATTGCTCTTTAAATCACAAAAATATTTACTAGTGCTGTAGTAAAAATTTTTGAAAGTCTGTGCTGCTAAAAACAAAAAAGAAAACCCCAGCTACACCCAAAATGCTTCCCTTTCCCCACACAAATGTTATCTCAGTGGAAATCAGATGAATGTTTTCTGTGTCAGGAAGTAAAGTGTACTAGAATGTATAAATCTGCCCTAACCCATAAAAGTAAAATTTCAACAGAGTCCTGTTGTTAACCATTGAAAAAATAAGTTGCTTTACTGTTTTAATTAACATATATTTAACAAGGAGATAAACCAAGGATTAGAGCAAGGCTATTATAAATACTCTGTTTTCCCTTAAATATTAAAGGGCTGAGCAAGCACGGGTATGTGCATATGTGCACTGGAGAAAAAATCTAAGGCGTTCTCGTCCACGTGAAGGAAATTATGGAACATATTAATATGGAACATTCTAAAAGGAAAAAGCTATTTCATGAGGCTTAAGCAGTTCTGTCCCACCAAACGCGGCACTCAATGACAGGAAGAAGCTGGAAGTCGGATAGGGAAAGGAGGGCAGAGATTATTTCGGTCTGTCTGATAAAGGCCTCCAGCAGCCGGGCACGGATTTGTGTGTTTCGAAAACATCGCCCGGGGCGCCCAACACAGAACAGAACCGGGGGAGGCGGGCGGGGGATGGGGGCGGGGCGGGGCGGCAGCGCCGCGCAGGGCCCGGGATTGGCCGGATTTTGCCGCAGACCCCCGGGCAGGGCCGGGCCGCGCCGGGGAGCCCCGGGGCTGCTGCGGACACGACCCCGCGCGGGGGCACGGCCGGGACCGGGAGGGACCGAGCCCGGCGGGAGCCCGAGCGGGGGCAGCGCGCGGGGAGCTCCGAGCGCGGGGAGCGCCGGGCGGGAGCCCCCGAGCGGGCGAGGCCGCGGCTGAGGGCGAGGCCCGGGGCGGGCGGAAAGCGGCCGAACGCCCGGCTCGGCTGCCGGCCCGCGGGAGGGGAGCGGAGCAGAGGGGAGGGGAGGGGAAGGGAAGGGAGAGAAGGGGAGCCGGGGCGGAGCCTGCGGGGCTGCTCCGCCCCCTCGGCGCCCGCCGCAGTTCTCAACCAGGTCGGACCCCGCCACTTAAACCGCGCCTCGGCGGGGCTGGCGGCGCGCAGTGTGGTCTGCGGGCGGTGCGAGCATGTCCGGCAGAGGCAAGGGCGGGAAGGGGCTCGGCAAGGGGGGCGCCAAGCGGCACCGCAAGGTGCTGCGCGACAACATCCAGGGCATCACCAAGCCGGCCATCCGGCGCCTGGCGCGGCGCGGCGGCGTCAAGCGCATCTCGGGGCTCATCTACGAGGAGACGCGCGGCGTGCTCAAGGTCTTCCTGGAGAACGTGATCCGCGACGCCGTCACCTACACCGAGCACGCCAAGCGCAAGACGGTCACGGCCATGGACGTGGTCTACGCCCTCAAGCGCCAGGGACGCACCCTCTACGGCTTCGGCGGCTAAGCTCCCTTCTCAGACCGTACACTGTTAAACACAAAGGCTCTTTTCAGAGCCACCCACAAAACTCACCACGAGAGCTGTTAATTACTAAAAAGTAGAAGTTACATATTTAAAGATACATGTATACATGTATATACGTATATACATATGTATCTTTAAAGATATATGTATCTATATGTAAAGATACATTAAGTATTTAAAGATACATGTAGTAATACCTAGGTTCATAACTACCTAGGTTCATAATTTCTTTCAATCATAGCATTTACAAGGAAATTTGGGGGGGGGAGGGAAATCTGAAAAAGAAACAAAGGTATCCTTTTCAGTTTACTTGCAATTACAGCTCTTTGTAAGAAATTTTGGGGGGCTCTTAAAAGAGCCTTTGGGTTAGATTAAACTGATTTACTTGGAGCTGGTGTACTTGGTGACTGCCTTGGTGCCCTCGGAGACAGCGTGCTTGGCCAGCTCGCCGGGCAGCAGCAGCCGCACGGCCGTCTGGATCTCCCGCGAGGTGATGGTCGAGCGCTTGTTGTAGTGCGCCAGGCGCGACGCCTCGCCAGCGATGCGCTCGAAGATGTCGTTGACGAAGGAGTTCATGATACTCATGGCTTTAGATGAGATGCCCGTGTCGGGGTGCACCTGCTTCAGCACCTTGTACACGTAGATCGAGTAGCTCTCCTTTCGTGCTCTCTTTCTTTTTTTGTCGCCCTTCTTCTGGGTCTTGGTGACGGCTTTCTTCGAGCCTTTCTTAGGCGCTGGAGCTGATTTCGCCGGCTCAGGCATCTCTCAAACTTTCTTTCCGAGCTCTTCACCGGACCTCAACAACACCGAAAATGGCGCCTGCTCGCCTATTTATAAGGACGTTATGCAAATTAGAGGATTGTAATCACTCCATTCCTATTGGTGCAAAAGAGAGGAACGTAGTTAATGGCACTTCCGATCTGTTGCCATCATGCCTTTTACGATGTGTACAAATAAGATTTCTCGTTACGGCGATGTCAGTAGTTTTAAATCAAGAATTTAAAAACGTAGCGAAATACGTACTGCCGTTTTACTAACGAAATGTAATAGTGGAACTCAGTGCGCACATCGTGCACACTATAACATTTGAACTGCACATGTTTTCTGGGACTGTTTATAAACATATTACTTATGCTTGTAAATAACTATAATTTTCTGAACATTATAAGCACAGTGACTTGTCCTAAATGAAGGCAGTAATTAACAGCTCTCGTGGTGAGTTTTGTGGGTGGCTCTGAAAAGAGCCTTTGTGTTTAACAGTGTACGGTCTGAGAAGGGAGCTTAGCCGCCGAAGCCGTAGAGGGTGCGTCCCTGGCGCTTGAGGGCGTAGACCACGTCCATGGCCGTGACCGTCTTGCGCTTGGCGTGCTCGGTGTAGGTGACGGCGTCGCGGATCACGTTCTCCAGGAAGACCTTGAGCACGCCGCGCGTCTCCTCGTAGATGAGCCCCGAGATGCGCTTGACGCCGCCGCGCCGCGCCAGGCGCCGGATGGCCGGCTTGGTGATGCCCTGGATGTTGTCGCGCAGCACCTTGCGGTGCCGCTTGGCGCCCCCCTTGCCGAGCCCCTTCCCGCCCTTGCCTCTGCCGGACATGCTCGCACCGCCCGCAGACCACACTGCGCGCCGCCAGCCCCGCCGAGGCGCGGTTTAAGTGGCGGGGTCCGACCTGGTTGAGAACTGCGGCGGGCGCCGAGGGGGCGGAGCAGCCCCGCAGGCTCCGCCCCGGCTCCCCTTCTCTCCCTTCCCTTCCCCTCCCCTCCCCTCTGCTCCGCTCCCCTCCCGCGGGCCGGCAGCCGAGCCGGGCGTTCGGCCGCTTTCCGCCCGCCCCGGGCCTCGCCCTCAGCCGCGGCCTCGCCCGCTCGGGGGCTCCCGCCCGGCGCTCCCCGCGCTCGGAGCTCCCCGCGCGCTGCCCCCGCTCGGGCTCCCGCCGGGCTCGGTCCCTCCCGGTCCCGGCCGTGCCCCCGCGCGGGGTCGTGTCCGCAGCAGCCCCGGGGCTCCCCGGCGCGGCCCGGCCCTGCCCGGGGGTCTGCGGCAAAATCCGGCCAATCCCGGGCCCTGCGCGGCGCTGCCGCCCCGCCCCGCCGCCCGTTCCCGCTTCCGCTCGCTGGGGGCCCAGCGGGGTCTATTTCCGCGGCCTCGTTTCCTTTGTTCGGTGCGAGCGCGGCCGTTCCGCGCCTTGTTCGCCTTCTCGGGGGCTCCGCTCCTGGCAGCCGCTCCCCTCGTCCGCTCAGCCCCGCAGTTCGGGCCGCGAGCGTTCGGCGCTTCCGTGCCCGCATCCGCTGCTCGGTGCGAGGGGATCGGGGAGCGAGGCGCTCTGCGACGCTCGTTAGGGGGCTCGGGTGGGAAACGCGCGACCCTGAGCCTCCTACGGCGCAAATCGGCTACTCGGTCCCGCAGGAGGGCCCTCGTCTCTACCCCCATCTCCTTTCCTCCTCCCCGCCATCCCCCAAGTTGCCCCCGGAATGGGGAATTGCTCGCTAATGCGTGGCTGGAGACTACAAACGAAAGAACGTTATAAACATTACCAGAGCGTGTCTGAATGACCACTGGAAAAAAAAAAAAAAAAAAAAGAAAAACGACAACCAAATATATTTCCTTCAACTGACATGGCCAAAAAGTTTGTTGCTTCACATCTCTGCTAATGGACTTGTCACATATGCTTCTGAGAATATGTCAGGCTATATTCAAAAGTAGATGAATTAGTCAAGATTTAAGAGCCTACATATTAAAATGTATTTTTAAATGTTATTTTACACTAAATAAAACCTATGATAGTGACACTTGCCCTTTGCTTATACAATTAGCATGTTGTGCACATCCAACTTCTCTACCTCATTTTAAGTGAATTCCTTTTAAATTTGTACAGATGTTTATATAATTTAATTTCTGAACATAATTTACGTCATGTGGGCCACATCTCCATTGTATTTCTTGGCAGAATATATTAAATTAGAGGGACAATATGATAGAGATTTTCAATTTTTAATTTACAGGTATCCAAGAAAGCACAAGTCTTTTCTATGATTATAAGTAGTACTACAATCTGAATTTATTTACAATAAGTTTGAACTGAAATGAAAATGGAAGAATTACCTACCAAATGCATACAACCTGAATTGGTAGAAGCAGCTTTCATTTTGTTGCCTTGTGACTGAACAGAAAGAACTCAAGTTATTCACAAAGCAGCTGGAAGGCATGCCAGTGGGGGACCTGCCAAGCTGGTACCAACAATTACCATTTGGCTGCATGGTGTCTGCTTTGTTCTTTATACCTAAAGTTCTGTGTCTAGACATGTTTCCTGAAGCAGTGGAGTTTCAAAACATTTAAAACCACCACCAGAATACTTAACAAATCATAAAAGAATTACAGGAAATATTTTCTTCTTTTAGAGTTATAATTTCTTCACAACTCCTAGTGCAGGGTGAGTATCCTTGTGTCATTTTCTCCTCCAGCAGTCTAAGCACTGAAACACCAGAAAAATAGCCTTCCGAAGTGTTCCGGCAGAACAGTTGTTGCAGAGGCTGAGACCAGTAGCCTACAGATTGATTAATGCAACCCACTTTCCCCAAGGTGTGGAGCATATTTAAAATACTTTGATATCATACTTCCTAGGTAGCTGCCTTGTCTGTAGTGACCACAGACAGGTGTTTCCCATGTGTTTCTCTTAGTTATATTCCCAGCTCTGTCATGGACCAGCAGCTTTTCTTATACAAAAAACACTTGAGGCAGAATGAAAATTGTTGCTCAGTAGTTTCTAATAAAGTTCCTTTTACTGTGGCTTGGGGACATTAAGTGTTACGTGGATCAAACATCATCCTAAGTAAAAAATAAATAAATAAATAAATAAAAATCAGCACAAGTGAACTATATATGACTTCAAAATTACCCTTGATTTTCTTGAAAGCTTAAGTGGCAATTTATGTCTGTGTCTGTATCTATTACAACTGGAATAATGCAAATTAAAGAGATGTGGGATTTTTATTTTTGTTTTTTAGCATGCCTCTATTCTTAACGTTGAAAATAAAGGTGAAAAATTATGCACAAATCTTTAATTTTGCTTTTAAACTACGCAATTCTAAGGCTTGATATATAGACTGGCATTACAGAGTTACTGATGAATCTAATTAACCTACATTGTTTGAGGGAATTATTTTTTTTTCCTCTTCTTTTTCTTTATCCAGCATAATTTGCCTGAAAGCCACTGGTCTTTAACTACTGAAGGCTGGCCAGAATGAGTTATGAGGTAAAATGAGTTATCACTCTTACGTGATAACTCATTTTACCTCAGAATTATCTGACTTCCAGGATGCATAGCTTTGGAGCCTCAGTGTGTTGGCAGCACTGGAATCACAACCAGTACAACCACTAGTAACTAAGGACAAAAATAGGGAATGCTTAGAAGTGGACATAAGTATTACAGAGGATAAAATTACAGATTTGAGAAGAGATTTGAGAGAAATAGACAGTGCTTTGAATGAGATTGTAGAGAAAAATAGTGAATTGCTGGTCAGACAAAAAGAATTCTGTAAGCCATGCTGGATGTATCCCTGCATGCAGCAAAGGGCAGGGGTCCTCTCCCATGGTTCCAACTGATTGCAATGTCCAAGATCTTGTTCGTGATCTGATTCCACACCTGGGTACAGATGCCTCCAACCCCTGTGCTTTTTATGGCATTGCAATGCTTTGATCCAGCTATTCCAATCCTCAAAACACACAAACACACAAAGAACTCTGTTCTGGAGACTCAACATAAAATAAATTTGCATGTTAGAACACATTTTTATATCATTGCGGAACACAACCATTAAGCACAGATACTGCTACCATGTCAGACCACTTTTCTGCCTCACTTCCATTCTGTCTCTCTGCACCAATTATCCCCAATATCCTACTTCAGATATGAGAGCCCTCCCTAAAGAGCATTTCTGCTACAGCTGGGGTGTGTGTGGGGGGCGTTTGCCTTGCTATAGGTGGTATTTTTCTTCCTCTGCAGCTCTGCTCCTCCTCCTCAGGGGATCGAGGGGACAGACCCATTGCACAGGTGAGAGCAATGGCCTCACTGCACTCACAGGCAGCTTCTGGGAACACCCTCACAAGAGGAACCCACCACTTTCTAATAACCCACAACAGAGAATCCAAAGTGCTTTAGCACTGTGTTCTTGGGTGACATCTGTGCCAGAGAAGTACAGGATTTATTCACGTAATGCTGCCCGCTGTTAACTGATGTAACAGAGGAATAGCAATGCACTGTTAGGTAACTTAAAAAGACTTTCACATCTGAAAATCCTGCTTAAAACAGGAACGTATCAGTGCTGGTTTCTTCTGAATGAAAAGATGCTACAGTTGGTGATTTAATGCCTGAGTCTGACTAGTTGAGGGTCCAGATCAAAATAAGCTATATCCCCTAAGGCATTCCCAATTCAATACCTATATAACAAAGTACAGCCACAGTTAAAACTTTTTTAAAAGACCACAGACCTCCTAAGGAAACCTTTACTCATTGTTAGCTGTAGTTATGTGGAGTCAGGTCATTCACTTATTTTCTTATGTACCATGGTGTTTTTCCCACCTTTTAGCTACCTCTTGCCCCCCTTCATTTCACAGCATAAGACCATAACATGCCATTTAGAGGGTCAATAAAGTTGAACAAATTGAATAAAACAAGCACTTACAAGAAAAAAAAAGCATCTAGTATAAAACTGTGTTTATATTCAGCTTTTCTTTGTTGAAAAGGATGATTCATAATTGAAGTATCTCAGGTCTTATGTAGGAACCTAAAATTTCAAGACACTGTTACAGAACATAGATTTAAATGTGAAAACAAAGGCAGCATGAAAGAAACACTTGACACCAAAAGCACTATCACAAAGAAAGCAACCCAACTCTTTTCTGACTACATGGGTGGCTCTGAAAAGAGCCTTTGGGTTATATGTACTTTAAAAAAATCTGAGCAGTTCCGTTGATTGAACTTATTTGCTCTTAGCCTTGTGGCTTTCAGTCTTCTTGGGCAGCAGCACAGCCTGGATGTTGGGCAGCACCCCGCCCTGCGCGATGGTGACCTTGCCCAGCAGCTTGTTGAGCTCCTCGTCGTTGCGGATGGCCAGCTGCAGGTGGCGGGGGATGATGCGCGTCTTCTTGTTGTCGCGGGCCGCGTTGCCCGCCAGCTCCAGGATCTCGGCCGTCAGGTACTCCAGCACGGCCGCCATGTAGACGGGCGCTCCAGCCCCTACTCGCTCGGCATAGTTACCTTTCCGGAGCAGCCGGTGTACGCGGCCCACGGGGAACTGCAGCCCAGCCCGCGACGAGCGTGACTTGGCCTTAGCCCTGACTTTACCTCCCTGCTTCCCACGGCCGGACATTACTCTGCTGTTAGCGCACAGAACCACAGACCACGAGCGCCGCAAACAGAACGCCGAGCAAGCCTTCCCAACACCCGCGCCCTTCGCTTTTATCCCTTCCCTGGGCGGGATTAACCCCGGTGATTGGCTGGTGCCGGGCACGGTGCGAGGAGCCAATGAGAGAGCGGATCGCGCCGCCACCAATAGACGCAGAGGAACGGTTGCGAACTCGGGCCCAATGGCGTGGCACGAGTCAGAGCCGCTGTATTTGCATAGCAGCCCTATAAATGCGGGGCGCCGAAGCCATTTTGGCTGCTGTTCCTGTTCAGCACGAGCGGGTATCGCTGTCAAAATGCCTGAGCCGGCCAAGTCTGCGCCCGCGCCCAAGAAGGGCTCCAAGAAAGCCGTCACCAAGACCCAGAAGAAGGGCGACAAGAAGCGCAAGAAGAGCCGCAAGGAGAGCTACTCGATCTACGTGTACAAGGTGCTGAAGCAGGTGCACCCCGACACGGGCATCTCGTCCAAGGCCATGGGCATCATGAACTCCTTCGTCAACGACATCTTCGAGCGCATCGCTGGCGAGGCGTCGCGCCTGGCGCACTACAACAAGCGCTCGACCATCACCTCGCGGGAGATCCAGACGGCCGTGCGGCTGCTGCTGCCCGGCGAGCTGGCCAAGCACGCCGTGTCCGAGGGCACCAAGGCGGTCACCAAGTACACCAGCTCCAAGTAAAGCGATCTGTAGAAGGTCCTATTTTTAACCCAAAGGCTCTTTTAAGAGCCACCCACGTTTTCCCTGAAAGAGCTTTAACACAGCATGTCACACTGTTTAATAGACTTGAAAAGTAACTTAATAGACAAGCAAAGCGAAGAAATACTGCTTTTGTACATCCAAAAAGAGTTTGCACTAATTAAGAAGATTAATTTCTGGAATCATTGGTCAATATCTTTTACCTTTAAGCTATTAAAAATGTTGACATCATGTCAGAATAAATCTTTTTCCAATGAATGCAAGCAGTACAGTTAAGTGATTTCCATTTAATGAAGCACACCAGTCGATCACAAATAGAAATTAACAGGTGTCCTAAAACTTTTATTAGCACATCCTCTTGGCGGGGGGGAGGTATATAAAAAAGCCATTATCATATTTGCGTAGTAGTTTTATGATTATTCCGGGGTTATTTATTTTCTTTATTTTTGAGAGAGCATTTAGCTCTGCAGACCAGGAAAAGAATACAGGCTGGAGGCGGGACGGAGGCTTTCGGAGGATGAGCTTCCCGGGGACAAGCTCATGGAGCTGGCGCCGGCTGCGCTCCGTATGCCGGCAGCAGCGCGGGCTTTTCGAATTCTCCCAGACGACCAATCAGCGGCCGCGGCTCCCCCCATTAGCCAATCAGAAGAGGCCAGAGGCTGAGCCCCACAGCCGCGGGGAGCTCGGCTCCACTCCGCCCGGGCTGCGGCTCCAGGTCCCCCGGCGCGGGTCGGGGCAGCGACCGGCAGAGCCGCCGCGCTCGGGCTGCGGGGAGGACAGGTGGCAACGCTGCCCACCTCCCGCCCCGGCAGCTCCCGCTCTAGAAGCGGTTCTGTGAGGTCAGGCAGAAATTAGGAGGTGCCCCGCCGACCCTGCCGAGCGGAAAGCTCATTGCCAAGGACGCGGGGGAGCCGTGCCGACGGGGCTACGGTCCCTAAAAGGTGCGTTGGAGCTGCGGTTAGGAACCGCGCTGTGCTGGTTAAAGCACTGAGCTGGTTAAAGCACTGAGAGAAACCTGCGCGCCCCACAGCGATACCCGCCCTAACCGGTCCCTTTAACAAATGCACCCCCTTGCGGTGCTCAAAAAAGCCAGCCTGCGAAAAGCTTTTTCCAAGGGATCGCAAACTTTATTTTTCCCAAGTCTCTACGGCCGGAAGCTCGGCGTCCCGTCCTTCCCACAGCCGAACTCCCCGTCCCACGCGGATAGCAGCGTGTGGTCAGCACGGCTACGGGCGCGGTGACCGAGTGTATCAGCTCTTTTTCGGACAGTAGTGGGTGGCTCTTAAAAGAGCCGTTGGGTTTAAGTATTTCCACTTCAATACTTCACTTTTTGGGCGCTGCCTTCTTTGCCTTGGCTGCCTTTGGCTTGGCAGCCTTGGGCTTGGCAGCTTTGGGCTTCACCGCCTTTGCCTTAGCCGGGCTCTTCGCTGCCGCCGCCTTTTTGGGCTTGGCAGCCTTGGTCGCCTTCTTGGGGCTCTTGGCTGCTTTCTTGGTGGCAGCGGCCGCCGGCTTCTTGGCTTTCTTGGGGCTCTTCTTCACCGCCGCCTTCTTGGGCTTCTTGGCGGCGCTGGCGGGCTTCTTGGCCGCCGGCTTCTTGGGCTTGGCCGCGGCCGCCCGCTTCTTGGGCGCCTTCTCCTTCACCTCGCCGGGCTTCTTGCTGAGGCGGAAGGAGCCGGAGGCGCCGGTGCCCTTGGTCTGCACCAGGGTGCCCTTGCCGACGAGGCTCTTGAGCCCCAGCTTGATGCGGCTGTTGTTCTTCTCCACGTCGTAGCCGCCGGCGGCCAGCGCCTTCTTGAGCGCGGCGAGGGAGAGCCCCTTGCGCTCCTTGGAGGCGGCCACGGCCTTGGTGATCAGCTCGGTGACGCTGGGGCCCGCGGGCTTGCGCGCCTTGGAGCCGCCCGCCGCCTTCTTCGGCTTCTTGCCGGCGGCCTTGGCGGCGGGGGCCGCGACAGCGGGCGCTGCGGCGGGAGCGGTCTCCGACATCGCTGCCGAGACTTCTTCCTAATCAAAAGAAAGTAATTGGGCTACAGTAACCCCGATGCCTGAATTTATAGCGAAGCGGTGATCTGTGATTGGTGCTTTGCAGAGCCCGCCTAACTGTTAGCCAGGAAGAGCTTTTCGTCCTCCGAGTCTGTGTTTCTTCGGAGTTATAAATTCATATTTTTTAGAAAATGCCTGCCGCGAAACCACCCCAGTTTCTTCGGGGAGTAAAGAGAAGAGTGTGAAGTTTCATTCGGGGGAGTTTCTCGCTGTAGACACCCACGATGAGAGAAAAAAGATGCGTTTAACCTCCCGTCGTGCAGCTAGGGAGACCCCGGGGAAGGCGAACTTTTGTTTTTCCTTCTAAATTAAAATAAATCTCGTAGCTATAAAACTTCCCCCATAATGCTGGGGTGTTCTTTAGGGGCTTTTCTCCAGATTAGAACAGGTACCGAGGGGGCAGCTTCAATACTTTTGTCATAAATTGATTTCAAAGAGAAGGAAGTAACACAATTTCATGGCTGAGCTTTGAATATGGATAAAGAATCGGCTCCCTTAACCACATCTTAAACTATTAAGGATACTGTATTTCCACAGAATTTCATGTTTGAGGAAAATAAGAGACCTTCAGACGAATGTATATACTTCTTCAAACTGTCTGGAACTTGTCATGGCTCAATGTCTTTTGTGGTGTGCTGTAAATGAATGGCAGGATTCTGATTATTTTATTATTTTTATTTTATTATTTTTTTATTTTTAATTGGGTCGGAAAACAGTTTGTGTTTATAAACACGAAGCTGTTAATGTCTTGTTAATACAAATAGATTCCGGATAAACTGATAGCTTAACGTCTCATTTACAATACTCTATATTACTATTCTTTAAAACTTGCAGCAGTAAACAGATTTGCAGGGTAAAAAAGTCAAACAGGTATAGATACACAAATAAGTATCACACAATTCTTAAACGTTAATGGAGCAAGCTGAAGCATCACTTACCCGCAAATAAATACAATAAAATGGAATTCTGGCCTCTCTGAACAGAATGAATCAGACTACATTTTAGTTACTGATGTTTGCATATGGACTTTTTTTTTTATAGGATTCATAAAACCTAACACTCTTCTTTAAAGAAAAAGTGTTAGAGTCTTTACAGTTTTTTTTACAAATCCTCATAATATTTAAATAATTTCCTGATAATCCTCATAAATAAGAATCTGCTTTGATTTTCATTTAATTATAAAATCTTGCAAAGTGACAGCAGAAATTAAATCTCTGTCTCTCTTTAAATACTTTTAGTATTTTTAAGGAGTACTACGTATTGTTATCAGTATTTTGGGGTTTAATCAGAAGACAGTAGCCTTGATTGGCTTCAAATTAGAATGCAAACAAACATTTACTCCTTCACTGAGAAGATCAAATTAAGACGAAACCTATTGTTTTGCCCCATACTTTGTAAATACCTGCCATGCAAAACATCAGTGTGCTATTTCAGCACAAAATCATTTCTTCCAGCACTTATACATTTGAGACTCTAGAAGACAAGTAAAATGCTAGAAAAGGCCCTGATATTTAGTTTTCTTGATCAAATGTTGAAGATACCATTACATTTTTCTTAATAGTATGTAGTTTTGGTTGAAATGACGTTAGGGAGAAATGAGATACATTGGAGTAGCTAGAGTGAAAACAATGAACTGCCACCTTCCCTTTTCTTATTCTGATTTGGTTCTATATTTGATTGCTGTGTCTGCATTTATGCCAGCTAATAAATACATTGAAAGTGAGAAGGAGAGGGAGGTAAACGCAGAGGAAAGAAAAAATTAAGCTTTTCTGTACCCTGCTGTAAAAGCCAGATTGAATGGCACCCTGAATTTGGCTGTGAAATCTGCCATGCTTTTCTTGTGAACGTGATGTCATTCGCAGAGAAGCAACCAGAGCACATCCACAGAAACCACAGCTTTTGGGATCTCAGGCTGGTAATCTAAATGAATAGTAGGAATGAGGTTCATGGATGCAAGCAAGGTCGTTGCTAGTAGTAAGATGAAGGCATTGTGCTAATTTTCAAGATTGGTGGGACGGAGATGTCCATGCAGCAGAATCAGGCTGTAAGTGACACAAAAGGGCTGTCAGGTATTCGGATCTGCTTAATGTAACGCACACTTCTGGGAACAAGGCTGGAGGATGCGTAATGTACCTTACTCTGTAGCTCGGATGATTTAAGGCTAGATCTCTACAAGTCAGGCTCAGTACAGGCAAACTGGCCAGGACGCTGGGAGCAGCTGGGGCCGGGCAGCCCCAGACACGGGTCTTGCTCCAGGACCATCCCTCACCTAAGCACCTTGGAGCATGCTTCCCTCCAAGCTCGCTCTTTGCAAATGTCTCCTCAGAGCACCAGCAGATGATTTCCTCCCTCTGCCCTTCAATGGGCTGTAGGTTAGGGATGGAGATAGGAGGCGGAGAGAGGCGGTAGGGCAGTTCTGAGATTTACTCTCTAAACAGCGGCTCTGGCCGGGCTCCCCCCACGCAGGATGTCGGCGGGTGGGGATGGCAGCGCCTGCCCCGAGCCAAGACCTCAGGGAAAAAGATCGCCTCGGCTTTGGTAAGGGAAGATGGTGAAGAAGGTCCCGGTTTGAGGATTGCAAGAAGAATTTTGGACTTCTCCCGGTTTTAGTTCTAGATGAGTCCGTGTTATTTTATTTATTTATTTATTTTTAAATAGTTCTTTTCTCCTGGTGCTGACTTCGGAGTCGCACTTCTCGAGTTCTTTGCTGTTCCCTGTTTGTCTGAGACACGTGAACTCTTGGCAGTTGGCCTCCAGCATTAAGTGTCATCATCCTTTATACTTTATCCTGTTCCTCAACCATCAAACCTGCCCTGTTCTGCCCAAAGCCTTATCCCTGGCCTACTGCTGGGAGACGAGTGTTTTCTTCATCTTACCAATTATTTCTGCAGAAGTTTTAAAGGGTGGGCCTCTAGAAATATGAGGTAGCGTGACAAAGTTAGTTTTTATTTTTTATTTTTTATTTTTTATTTTTTTACAGTTTTATTTCCCTCCCCTGCATGTAGACGTGAATTTTTCCAGTTAATCAGATAAAACCAACTTGTTGGTAGCTCTGACAAGTTTGCTTTTCTGGTTGGCTTTTCTGGATATAGTTGTTAAATGCAACACTGAACCAAAACAACTGTCCTCAGATTTTAGAGACTAATCAAAATCTACTTCAAAAATAGCATGGTTATTGCCCCACATGTTTTACAGATGAGAGAGAAAGATAAATAAAATAATCATCTCAGCACTTAATTTAGCAAATCAATGAGTATGGAACAGAAAACAGTTTTTCAACCTCACAGAGAAATTTCTTACTGCCAAGCAATATTACTTGAAGCAGAAGTTTTTGAGTGAGATGATGATGATAATGATTGATGATGATGATTGATGATGATGATTATTTTTTTTACAGTTTCCATGTGAAGAAACAGGTATATAAATGTTACTCATTTTATACCAGATTTCAACCAAACAGCAAAGATAGAAAATTCTGCCATTTCTCTTTCTCCCTTCCAAGCATCCTGTTCAAACACAGGTTTTGTTTTTCTCCTGCTCAGCACCTCTAACCAATCTCTTTTGTCTCCTTATATTACATAAGCCTTAATTCTTGAAAACAGAACTTAAATTCCAACTATCATCACACAATGTATCCTGACTTCCCTCCTTGCCTACTAGTAGAGGTACTAGTAGAGGTACTAATGTAGATTACAGAAGGTACTACAAAATGCCAATGCAGAGAGGTCCAATGTAAGTATGTTCAAAACAAAAAGAATTCCTATATAAGAAATCATTCCTACAACTGTATAACAAAGGAAGAAACTTTTTTTTTTTTTTTTCTGTCTTCCTCCCCCCCATCAGGAAGTAAGCTCCACATGGAGGAAAAGCAGATTAGACATTAGACAGATAGAGACAGATTAGATTTACAGACTACAGGGAAACAATCTGGATAAGCTGATTAGCCAAATATAGCTGAAAGACTACACTAATGATATTTACTGTTCTTAGCATGGTGAAGACAAAGAGAAATAATGATCTTTTAATTTAAGCATCCCATTCTGTTGACAAAGGATGTTGTTGCACACATTTAGGTGAGCACCCAAAGATAAAAAGATCAAGAGATATTAGTCAAGTTCCTGCAAATTTCTTGGCATACTGTTTCAGCAATTGCAAAAAATTATATACTATGGAAGAGTTAAGATGTTAAAGAGCTATCAGTGATAAAGTGACCTGTCTTTTATATATATCTCAATAAAACTAACAAAAAATACATCACTGGATGTTAGGGCATCATGCTTCCTAATTAAAGTATCTTGCCTTCTAGTTTACTACCTTAAGTGATGTAACAGCTTAGAAGGTTATGAAAAATGAATTTCCATTTGGTATAAGCCAAGAAACATAGTTCTAAAGATATGCAAGAAAAAAATTGACCCATGGTCAATGGTCTAATCCAGACACTTGGAAAAACACTGTGAGCCATCTCTAGGAAAGAGAATATAAGCAAGTTCTTTTGCAACTGAGTAGTGGTAGGATAGCCACTGCTGCTTTCTTTCTTCATCACATGTACCTTGCCATGATATGTTTTAATCCTTGAGCTCAGGAACAATTCTGGGCACTGCTACACTCAAAGTAGGACAAAGAATGTCTAAGAAAGTGAAATCATAAATATTCACAGAAAGGAAAATAACTTTGAGGACCATCATCTCGCTGAGTTCTTAGAAGTTGAGATATGAGGGTAATGTTCCTACCAAAATCTCTCCATCATAGAAGAATCTAGCTATCTCCCTAGTAGAAGTTTTCATATTTGCTTAGGTTCAGCGAAGCAGGATTGCTGTCAGGGATGCACTCGAGGATAACAACAGTGATTTGTAAGACCACAGTGATTGTAGAATGACAGTTCAGATGAAATTTGGAAAATGTCTCTAGAAATCATTTAGTCTAAACCCCAAGGTCAAAGCATGGTCAGCTCGAGCAGGGGGACGCTATAACTTCTCTGGG